AATCAATTATTAAATTAAATAGATATAGATATTATTTACTTAAAAATTTATGTTATCATTTACTTACATCTGAACCACTGACAATAATACTATAAGACCTTGAAACTGCTACGCAGTTTATCTTTGCTGAATGCCCTCTTAGACACTCCATAAATCGAAATTCTGGTGCTTTTGTTAACCATTTAAGTGATTGATTACATTTATAAGTGTGATTATTTACTAAATATATTTTTTTTAAAAAAAATTAGTTTGTCGCAATAAATGATACAACAGTAAGAAAATTTATTATTCAATTTAAACAAAATCTAATGACTATATTGAATAATTGAATAATATAAATATCCTTATTGTTTTAAACTTGATATTTAAAGGGTGATATTATTACATGTAGTGGTTCGGTTATTCGTATATGGACTATCAATGGAGATCTTTATGTAGAAAAAAGCATATCACAATTTGCAGATCCTATTCAGTGTTGTATATTCTATGAGGTGAGTTTTTTTAATTATTAATGATAAAAATAGGTTGCTTGATAACAAATTTCTATTTTTTGCTTAATAGGGTAAACATAATGAATGGTTGTATGAAGATTTAATTTTTACAGGACATAAAAAAGGTGTAATAAAGGTATTTTAAAGAAAGTTTTCCTTATGGCTTTAATTTTTTTATTTCATGATAATGAATTTATCCGATCTCATATTTAGGTTTGGAATAAGAGTTTGGTGCCAAAAACAACTTCTAACAATGAGCAAAAAGGTCTGAAATGGGATTTAACTTTGAGGCATCAATTAAAACACGAAAACAGATTTGGGCCATCAACAACTACTAATGTTGCTTCTTTAATGGTTTCTGGGTAATTATCAAGAATAGCAACGAATTTCTTATTTATTTAAATATATGCAAATTTTTTGACATTAATTAAATTCCATCAAAAGAACTCAAAGAGTACTTTATAGTGGAGATTCTTCGGGAAAAGTAAATTCTTGGGTGCTGCCTGATGTGAAGATTGAAAATCACTGGATGTCTGATAGTATAACAGACAATTGTTTGACGTGCGGAATGAGATTTGCTGTATTAGGTAAATATAGTAAGCTTTAAAAATTAAGAAAATCAAAAAAACTTATTAATTATTATTATTTCAATCAGAACGGAAAATTCGGTGTAAAACTTGTGGAGGAATTTTTTGTTCAAGTTGTACACAACCTTGGTCAGATAGAAGTTCTAGATTTTGTGATTATTGTTGTGATAAATTGGAAATTTTAT